GGCTCCCCCGGGCCCCCGGGGCGCTGCTGCCGGGGCCCCCCGCGTCCCCGGGGCTCCCCCGGGCCCCCGGGGCGCTGCTGCCGGGGCCCCCCGCGTCCCCCGGCGCCGCCTCAGGCCCCGCTCCGTCCCTTCTCTCCCAGGCTGAAGATCTGGTGGCCAACTTTTTCCCAAAGAAGCTGTTAGAACTCGATGGCTTCTTGAAGGTAAGACGTGTTTATCCGCATCCTTTTACATTTGCAAGCCACGGGCTGGAAAGTGACCCGTTAAGGCACAGGGGCACTTATTTATTACTTATTACTGAAGAGCTGAGTGGTAGCTCAGGGTTCTTGCAGACCCTTGAGAGCTGCCAGCAGTAGGAGGTGTTTCTGTTTCCTTTTTCTGTTTTCTTTATAGGGACTGCATGCTTATTTTTCATAAATATTCAACAGCTTTAGTTGCTGTGGAGTCCCCGGGGTTCCCTCGTGCCCCAAGCTGGGCAGAGGTGATGGCTTTGGTCGCAGTCTGGAGCCATCGTTCCCCACCTCAGGGGCTGGGGGGCCCCCAGTCCTGCTGTTCGCTGGTTTTTCACTTCTCCTCCTTCTGCAGATGCCTCAGAGGGAGCCTTGAATCTTTTGTCTCCTAATTGTGTTTAGCGCAAGAGAAACTGTTGGCTCCTAACTAACAAACCTCCATTATTTTCCAGGAACCCATCCTGAATATTCATGATCTCACTCAGATCCACTCGGACATGAACCTCCCAGTGCCTGACCCCATCCTCCTCACGAACAGCCACGATGGGCTAGATGGGGTAAGGTTACCCTCTTGGCTGCGATACCTCCTCCCATTAATTAAATCTGCATGGTTTGTACGTGTTTGATTAGGATGTTCTCATTTAACGACAGGCTATGGCTCTCCCAAAGGCTTTTAGGAATTGGTCTGTAGAGCCTGGCAAGTCTGCTGGAGGTAACGCTGTGCTCTGCAGTCCTCCTTCCTTCCTAAAGAAGGACGCTTAGAAACCAGGAGCATGGCAGAGGCTCTAAAGTTTCCCTTGTTTCCTTTGCGGTGCTGTTTTAGGTTACGACTAGTTTGTGAGTAAAACGTTTTGTATATTTTAGCCAAATATGAAAAAGAGGAAGCTGGAAGACCGCGAAGAGACCTTTCAGGGTAAGAGTCCCCCGGTGCCTGTGCAGCTGCCGCCCGCTGAGCCAGCGCCACGTGCGTTAGGGTACGAGATCACGCAGACCCTGCTCGCCCTGTCGGGACAGCAGCTGCTGCCCACGCAGACCTTCCCCTGGAACCTCTTGGAGCTTGGTGTGTGGGCGGCCTGCTGCGAAGGAGTAAGGGCCTCGGCTCTTGGGAGCAGCGTTAGGCCAGCTCAGTATCTGCTGATACTCCAAGTAGTATCTGCCTGAGCTTGGCTTGCTGACAGACAGCCGTGCCTTACGTCGATGTGTATTGATAAACCTTCCTTGCCTGAAGGAAGGGACCAGGCTTTGGATGAGGCTGAGACCGAAACACCTCTTACATGAGCTCAGGGAAATTCTTTGTGAGCAGCCTGGAGGTCTTTAGCTCTTGTCTCAGTTTTGTCTTCTCTCTTTTTCCTCTTTTGCGGCAGTGTCCGTGATCCCATGAAGTTTGCCCTCCCCTACAGGTTAGCCGTAGCCTGGCTGGGTGCCCGGTCCAGCCGTTGAGATAAGATGCTCAGGTTGCCCTTTGGTCTGATCTGCTGGTGTGGCCGTTTGTGCACGCTGCTCATGCGGGTGTCTGTCTCCTCTGCTGCCAGGTACCAAAGTGTTTGTGATGCCCAATGGGATGCTGAAGAGCAACCAGCAGCTGGTGGACATCATCGAGAAGGTGAAACCGGAGATCAGGCTGCTCATCGAGAAGTGTAACACGGTGCGTGTGAGCTGCAGCCCTCGGCGAGGCAGGAGGCAGCTCTTGCTCCCTGAGAGGCATGGCTTTATCGAGTGCAGGGAACAGGTCCCTCTGTATTGCATAAAACTAAAAAATGCAGTGTGTTTATTCCAGTTTCTAAACAGGACTGGATGGTCAGCATAAGGAAATGATGTTTTTGTGAGGCCTCAGGGGATTCTGTAGTTCAGCTCATGTGGGAGGAGGATGTTGGTTGTGTAGGCTCCTTCCTCGAGGCCTTTCATCAGCCTCGTTTTGCATGGGATCACAGACATCTGCCAAGGGTTTATTTGCTGTGCTCAAGAGAGAGCTTCCCGCGAGGAGCTGTGTTTCTGCTGTGGCTTCCCAGCCACGTGGGAGACAAAATTTACTCGGAAGCGTTGCACAAGTGGGAAGGACCTTTGGGAGTTTGTCATGAACCTCATGGCAAAGATTGTAGGGGGCTTTTCATAATCCTTCGAAGACAACTTCCTTTGGGCATTAGTGTTGCTCAGTGTTGTGATTTTTCTGCCCTCGCCCTTCCTTCTGTTGTAGGTCAAAATGTGGGTGCAACTTCTCATCCCCAGGATAGAAGATGGAAACAACTTTGGTGTTTCTATTCAGGTAAGGTCCAAGACTAGGGGAGAGAGCTGCGTTCCAGAAACATGGATTTCATGGGGTTCTCTGAACCTTTCACTTGGCTGTATCCAGGGGCTGTGGTCTTGGGGGTGGTTTAGATTTTAAAATCCAAATCTGAGCTTGAAAGGGCATTCCCAAGAACCAGCTGTAGAGCCCTGAAGGCCAACTCCACTGTCCTTGGCTTCCTTGCAGGAGGAAACAGTGGCTGAGCTTCGAACTGTGGAGAGCGAGGCTGCCTCCTACCTGGACCAGATATCTAGGTAGGTGTGGAAGAGCAGGATCCTTTGTGGGGCCGCCTGGGAGAAGTAGCCTGCTTGGGAAAGGTCCCCTGGTTTGTTTGTTTTCTAGGTCAGGATGAGCTTGAAAGAAATCTTGCTGCTATTTATCTGACGTTTAGTCTCTCCTTTCTTCTACCAGATACTATATCACAAGAGCTAAGTTGGTTTCCAAAATAGCTAAGTACCCTCATGTGGTAAGTAAACAGGGAAAGGGAGCGTTACACATTGTGTACTGCTGCTTTTGGGAGTCCTTGGGCTGCTTCATCCCTGTCCTTTCTAAGCTTTGGGAATGCCGTGGGAGAAGGAGGGAGTCATACAGGGGTGCAGGACATCCGTGTTGGAAGGGAGCAAGCTGAAGCAGGGAGTTCTTTTGTCAAAGTTGTACCAGCTTCTCTTGATGCGTGTGGGTGCAGCTGGGCTCGGGCCGCTCAGCCGTACCCCCGCTCTCCGCAGGAGGATTATCGCCGCACCGTGACGGAGATCGATGAGAAGGAGTACATTAGTCTGCGTCTGATCATTTCAGAGCTGAGGAATCAATATGTGAGTGAGAAGAGGCGCTCTCGCTGGCGCAGCAGCGTGGGGAGCAAACAGTCAAACAGTCTTGATGTTTGTGGTGCCTTTCCCTGTGATCACCCCTAGCCCTGGCAAGAAGCCTGTCCCTGGACTGTGACAAGACTTTGACAGGAAGACCTAATGGTGTCTTGTCTTCCAGGGAGACAGGGGTCCCCAGCTCAGTGCTGACAGGGGTAGAGTGTTCCTTGCGCTATATATACTGGCTGTATAAAGAGCTTTCCCTGTAGCGTTACATGCAGTGGCTTCTGGTCTTTGGTCTTGTTGAAAGAAGCCCTTATTTGAACTAGGTACCTGATGCAGAACTTCTGTACTGTGAGAGTGCCAGAGCCCTGGCACAGGCTGCCCAGGGAGCTTGTGGAGTCTCCTTCTCTGGAGATCTTCAAAACCCACCCGGATGCCACCCTGTGTCCCTGCTTGAGCAGGGGTTTGGACTAGATGATCTCTAGGGTTCCCTTCCAACCTCAACCATTCTGGGATTCGGGCAGAGGCCGAGTGTGAACGCAGGTTGCACTGCTGTTCTGGCCAGTGCGTATTGTGAAAGGTGAACGCTGGATATAACCGTTCTTGTCTGAGTTGTGTTCTCCCTTTTTACAGGTCACTTTGCATGACATGATCCTTAAAAACATTGAGAAGATCAAGAGGCCTCGGAGCAGCAATGCTGAGACCCTCTATTAAGTGTCAACGTTTGAACTTGAGAACTGTTCAGTCAACTAAAGACCGTCATTGCCTTGGTTTGTTACGTGACTATCGAGATGGGAAACTGGCTGGAAATAGTATCGCACTCTTAGTTAAACTCTAAAGAAATTCTCACCTAGTTCTGTGATTGGTTTTGTTCAGGTCTGAGGAGCTCTCCCTCCCTCTAGTAACTGGTAATGGGAAGGCCTCACTGCTCTGGGATGCCCTGGAGGCTACTGCCGAGCTGAGAGCACCAGCCAGGCAGGAACATTCCTTCATGCCTTCCTTCCTACCTGAGTAGGAACTCTGCTAGTGACCAAGCCCTTGTCCTTGCCCTGTCTCTTGGCTGGAGGCTCGTGGGTGTCCCTGGGAACGGAGCAGGCAGCAGGAGACCAAGCCCAGGTGCTGGTGCAGCAGCTGCGACACCGGCTCTTATTGGTACCATCTCCAGCTGATGCCCCTGCCCGTGCTCTGCACTGACTGGTTGTAAAGACAGGGGGAACCTGTCCCTCCCGGGCTGGTGGTGGCAGCTGTGCTGACGGGCCACTGAGACGTCCTCGCTCTTCTCCTGGCTCCTCTTGCTTGGTAGAGCCGGTCCCATCTGTCTCCACCTTGTGAATTTTAGCTAAGTGGGTGCAGAGTGCGAGGTGATGCTTTTAACCAAGGCTGGTTGCTGCACTGCCTGGTCATGAGCTCAGGTGGCTTCTGCTCCTGTTTGCTATTTGACTAGAGCCACTTTGCCCCAGAAAGTCAACTTTGTGTGTGTCCTAGTGCCCCTTGAGCATGAGGTGCTTTTGCCTAGGCTGAGAGCGGGGAGGGGACAGGGATCTGATCCTAAAGCCCTAGTAGTCTCCACACAAGGGTGGGCTGTGACCTGCTGTCTCCTGGCAGAGCTCCCTGCTCTCTGCGCAGCTGCAGCAGCTGCTCCGTGGAGGGGAGGATGCCCGAAGCCTCCTGATACCATCGCAAACCTCGTAGACTTCCCCCTGCAAAACAGTGCCCTCGTGGCCCGGTGGCTCCTCTAGGCCTCTGGAACGTTTCATGGTCCATTACAAACCCCTCTGGAAATGACTGGTTGTGTTGCGTCACTTTTTGTGTGTGGGAAATGGGCCCATAACGCTGCAGACTCCAAAATTTTCTTATTTATAGTATTTCTACTTCAGTCCCTTGTTCAGGGAATGTTAAATCAGTTGTTTCTGGAATCTTGCTGTTTCCCAGGTCTCACTGTTACACCCATATATTCTTATTGTGCAGTAGCCTTAATAGTTGTGTTAACTTCATTGTAACATACAGTGACAAATGGAATGAGCTTTCTCCTTTTTTTTTTCTTTTTTTTGGTTCTTTCTGCCTCCACATCTAAGAGCCGTGTTGTCTCTTGCTGGTTTCCCAGGGATTTGCCCAGAGTGTGGAGGGCCCTCGGCCCTTTCTATAGACTCTTCTGTTGTTGTTTGTAGTAAGTCAACTCTTGGTCTTCCCGCTAATAAATATTCAGTAACAAACCAACTGCATTCTAGCTGCTGTCTGGGAGCAGCACTTCCCCTTGTGTTTCTTTGTATTGATTCCTTTTAATTTGTGCAGCGCTCTCTGCCAGATGAAAGTATGTAAACTTTTACCATGTCAAGAAATTAAAATAAGGTACTTTGATTTCTTTTAAGCTAGACCCTTGTGTGTGGTGCCGGGCAGGCTCTGCAGTTTGAATGTCTCGGTCTTGCCTTTGTTGTACCTAGTTGCTCCTTTCCTGTGTTGTCCATGTTCCTCTCTCGAACTGTGTTGGAAACGACCATGTGCTGCTTTGGAGGTTGTTTCCCTTCCTTTAGCCCGTCCTATGGCAGGCCCAAGGTCTCGGCCTTGGCGCGGCCTCTCTTGCTCTCACCAGTGTGTTGGACTCGGGTCATCTCGGTAAAAGGGATGGGATTTGCAGGTTGCTTCTGCCAGAGCCTGGAGCCTGCTCTGTGGTCTCTGCCAAGCTGTGTCAGCAGTGTCGTTCAGTGCGTGGTCCCTCGCTCGCCTCGTTCCTCTGTGTATGTGACGCCTAAGAAAATACAGACTGGTCCTTTATCCCCTGGTCACAACTGTCCTCACCTCTACCCGCATGAACGTTCTCGTTCCACTTCCATCCGTCTCTGTTATGTGACAAGTTGGGTGACAGAGAGCTGCTCTGCAGCCGCGCTCCGGTGTCCAGCCCTCTTGTTGCCTCCGGCTGTGATGCCAGCTGGTGGTTTCCACCCGGATCTGAGCCTGCTCCTTGGGAAGCCCAGGACTGCGCCTGCATGGGGTGAGTTCCATCTCCCCAGCCGAGCCAGGTGCCACTAGGTGGGGCTCGTGATCCATACCCTAAAACCGGCGACCTCTGAGGAAGAGGAGCAGCGGCTGGTGGCCAGGCACGTCCCGCAGGGCTGCTGCTGCGTGGGCCTTCCTGGCATAGGGGCCAGCCTTGCTGGTGCCCAAGCTGCTCGCAGGAAGGCAGGAATGGAGCTGAAACCCCAGGTCCCTTCGCTGAAACAGCTGGAGCCAGAGCTCGGAGGGATGGTTGGTGACATGTCCCAGCGTGTTGCTGCCAGAAAGGGTGAAGTGCCCAGGTGCCCTGTGCCAGCCGCTCTGCAGGAAGGAGGAGCATCCAAAGCAGTTGCGTTGGCAGGTGGTCATGGGGAGCCTGGCCCATCCATAGGAGTGGGGTAGGGTTCGTTGTCTGTCGTATTCCCTGCTCCGTCTCAGTGCAGTGTTTCCTGCTCTTCTCTCCAGGAGAAGTGGCAAGGTGCCGCCAGAGCTTGGACTGGGGTTCTTGAGGCGTCGCAGTGCAGGAGCAGCTACCGTTAAAGCTTTTCAGAGGGAAATAAAGGCCCAGCGGTTGGGTGCAGACGCAGCCGCTGCCAGAAACGCAGCCAGCCTGGAAAAAGCTCAAGCTATTTCCACACTTGTGCCTTACACCGGGTGGCCACGGGATGTGATAATGGGAGTGGGGGTTACCTAAAGTCTGAGGACGTGGTTTGGGGTGTGATTAAGACACGGCAGTGCCAGCACTGCTGGCAAGGGGATCTCTGTACTGTGCTCTTTCCCCGCCTGCTTGGCAGTCGCTCGACTCCAAGTTTCCCTTAGCTGCGGGATGTCTGACTTGGGTTTTGTTTCCTATAAACTTTAGAGGCTATTTTTGCCATCTATACCTTTCTGTGTGAGCAAAGGGCAGCAAACGCCTCCCTGCCCTGTGCTGTTTGGGAGATGTGGACAATTTTCCGAGTATAAGAAGTATGGACGGACAGGCCTTAAAAGCAACCATGTCGCCAAAATAAATGTCAGTAGGATGTGAACTCTCCATGTTTAGGTGCGAGACCAGTCATGGGTTAATCACGCTGGTGGGACGGGGTGTGGGAAGAGGAATGTGCGCCAAACATCATAAACAAGTGATGCTGCTCCTTATGAGACGTGTCATTTTTAAAATTCTAGGTTAGCTCTAAGCTGCTTCAGGTCCTGTGTTTTTTGAGAAGGTAGGCAAACAGTTCAGTGGCCCTTAAAGATTCCTGCCTGCTTTTTATCATTAAGGTGTTGGCACAGGTTTCCCCATTCATTGTGCTCCCTGAAATTTCTACTGCAAGAGGGAGATGCGTTTTGGGTGCTTCTATTCATGGTGAAACAGCTCCCCTGAGAAAGGAGAATGCAGGCTGATTTTTGTGCTGCTTGTAATGTGCTTTAAAGGTCTCCAGTTTTATAAACTTCAACAGAAGTAGATGATACTAAATAATATGTTCATATTGTGAAATCTGTGGCTCGTATCCTATAACGAGCAGCACAAAGAGGCAGCGTAAGGAGCTTCATTTGTGCCAGATATATCCTGAAGACTTGGGGTGTGTGCTGTGGGTTTGTTTGTCATAGAAGCAAAACATAAACCCTAATCTATAATGACATCCCTGTTTCAAACACCAGACATGCACAGAAATAAAAATGCTCCCGTTCTTTATTTTCAGACGTCTCGCAGGCAAGTTGTAGGGCTGAGTCACAATTTGTGGGGCACAAAGGCCTGTGGAGTTGATCCAGCTCTCTTAAACCGCTGTCATGCTGCTCAGAAAAAGATCTTCTCTAATTGCAGCCTGTGCCTTGCCTGCGAGGGATTTGTGACATAAAACCAAAAGACAAAGTTTGGAGGAACAGCCGAAGCTGAAGGATCTGTTGTTTTGCACCTTAGATGTGCAAAGGTTGCTGTTAGGGAAAGGTGAGCGTGGCTGCCGCGCGCCCTGCTCTGCTCCTGCCCCCTCGCCCGCCGCTCCTGCCCCTGCCCTCTGCACTGCTGCTCAGATGGGGTACTGGGGAGCAGGGCGTGCGCCCAAAGGGAGTTTTGCTCTCCAGCCTAAGCCCAAGTGACCCAGGAGCATTGTTGGCCTCATGGACTGAGATGCTGACTTGAAAGTCAAAGCTGCTTCCCTTGTTTTGGGGCTACTCGGAGACTCCTCATCTGCCTCTCTTCATGCCCTGACTCTTCCCACATCTCCGTGTCGCACGGGGGCCTTGACTGTTGTGTTTCACAGGGGCCTTGCCTCATTTCTCTTGTCTCTACAGCTGCAGCCTCGACTGCAGGCACCCGAGGGCTGGCAGCGGTGCTGAGGATAACGGCCTGTGTCCTGTAGCCACCCGGCGTGCTGGCTGCCAGCCTGGTATCCGCCGGGTGCTGCGGGAGGACCCTGCGTGGAGACCAGGGCTCGATCGGCTGCAGAGGCCGAGCGTGAGGTGGCATCGAGGGAGGAGGGCCGGCCTCCCACCAGGAAACTCGGAGGGAGGAGGCAGGGAAGGCCAGGGTGAGGCGAGGTGAGGCTGGCAGCAGGAGTGGAAATGTCGTGTTCAGCCTCCTGCTGTGGTTCTCCTGCATTGCCGGTGCTCCTCAGCAGCAGCCCCGGGGCAGGCAGGGGCTGTGCCCAAGGCTGCGTGTCCTGTCCACCGCAAATATCTCCCTGTGGTGGGACAGGGACTGACCCCGGGCCCTTGTCTTCTGCCCGGCTCTTTCAAGAGCTCTATGAAACCGCAAGGAGACCTCACTGGTGACAGTGGCCGAGCGCAGTTTCCACAGCCTTTGGTAGGAACCTTGGTGGTGCCAGCTCATCCCAGGGTGCTGCTAACACTGGCAGCATGGGGACACCTGGCAGTGCCATCGCGTCCCTACCTGGATGCCAAAGGCAGAGCAGGCACGGGGCTGTTTGTCCTGCTCCTTGGAGGACCTGCTTGGTCTCCTTTCAGTGCAGTATTGGGGAGATTAATTGGTTAATAGCTATTCAGAGGTGCAAACTAAGAGCTAATTGTTCGCTGTGCAGTGGGGCCTGAATCTCATCCCAAACTCCATCCCTCCATGCCTGCCAAAGGTTTTCTGCTACTACACAGATGGATGTGTTTTCAGCAAAGGCTTCCCCATGGAAGATTAAAAAATAACAACTCCTAACGGGCTTGAAACGATGCTGCCAGGGAGAGTGTTTACAAGGAAGCAGCCTGATAAACAAGGAAACCTGGTGAGTTGCAAAGAGGTAAATTGTACAGTGTGGCAGCAGTCCTCAGCTTGCGAGAGCTTCACAATGGTCCCAGCCACCTCGGGCTGACTGCACGGTCTTCGTTTTTACAGGCAGCCTCAGGAAGTCGGGCTGGACTGAAAAAGTAACAGAACGATGTGAAATGTGTCTGAGTCACTGACCCTGCATCTCCACCAGCTCTTTCAGGGAACTGTTCTTGGAGGAGGACGGAGCGCTCCACAGCTGGGAGCGGAGAGCTGCCCTTTCTGCTCACCACGAATTTCAGATCTCCTCCCCTAGCCTCTCCCAGTCCTTTGTACTTCGCTACTAATCTGTCCAGTGCAGCATAAACGGAGAGAGGCAGCAATCCTGCTCTGGAAGCCGCCCAAAAGCCTCAAAATCTGCCGAAGACATGAACGTGAAGACCGTGCTCGTCCTCCTGGTGCTGGCCTTGGCCACTATCTTCGCCCTGGTCTGCGTGCTGCTGACCAGGGAGCGGGCGCCCGGCGCCTGCCCACAGCAGCCCCCGGAGCAGCAGGAGGAGGATGACGACGGTGCCGCGGAGCGGAGCCTGGTGTTCGCGGACCTGAGCGCGGAGGAGCTGGCGCAGGTGGTGCGGTACCTGCGGGCAGAGCTGGGGGTGCCGCTGGTGGAGGCGTCGCGCGCGCTGCCCTCCGACAACTGCATCTGCTGGGTGGAGGTGCAGCCGCCCGGCAAGGCGGAGGCGCTGCGCTTCCTGGACGGCGCCGGGGCCTGGCCCGCGCGCGAGGCGCTGGCCGTGCTGCACCTGGGCGCCCAGGCGGAGCCCAACGTCACCGAGTACGTGGTGGGGCCGCTGCCGGCGCCCACCTACCACCGGGACGTCACGGTGCGCAAGTACGGCGCCGGGCTGCCCTACCACCGCCGGCCGGCGCTGGCGGCTGAGTACAAACAGGTCGCCGAGTTCTTGAGGAGCCAGGTGTTCCCCACGGCTCCGTCCTTCATGCGGCAAGTCATGGAATATAACGAGACGAATCTAGCGTTTGTGACAACCGCCCCCCGGGGCTTCCAGTCCGGAGATCGGACCACTTGGTTCGTTTTGTTTCAGAACGTGAGCGGGTTCTTCCTGCACCCCGTGGGGCTGGAGGTGCTGGTGGACCACAGCAGCCTGGACGTCTCCCGGTGGGCCGTGAGCAGCGTCTTCTACAACGGGCAGTACTACAGGGACATGGCCCAGCTGGAGGGCGCCTACGTGCAGGGCCGCCTCGGCGTGGAGAAGGTGAAGAAAGTGCCCTGGGATGGGGACTTCTCGTCCATGAAGCCGCGAGCAGCTCCCGCCGCCCGGTTTCCCGTGCAGCACGAGCCGCAGGGGCCCCGCTACAGCGTCCGGAACAACCACGTTGCCTTCCAGGGCTGGAGCTTTGCCTTTGGCATGAGTGCGAGCAGGGGCCCGCGCCTGTTCGACGTCAGGCATCGGGGGGAGAGGATCGCCTACGAGATCAGCGTGCAGGAGGCCCTGTCCGTGTACGGCTCCAACTCTCCCGGGGGGATGTCAACGCGCTACATGGACGGCAGCTTTGGCATTGGGCGCTTCAGCTCTCCCTTGGTGCGAGGGGTCGACTGTCCCTATTCGGCAGCTTACGTGGATATGCCCTACCTTGCTGCGTCGCACGTCTCCAGAATGGCTAAAAACACCCTCTGCATCTTTGAGCACAACCTGGGCTCCCCGTTGAGGCGCCACTACTCCGACCTGCAGTCCTTCTACTACGGGGGACTGGTCAACTCCGCTCTGGTCGTTCGCTCCATTACAGCCTTGGGCAACTACGACTACGTGTGGGACTTCATCTTCTACCAGAACGGGGCCATCGAAGCCAAAGTGCAGGCCACGGGGTACATGAGCTCGTCCTTTCTTCACGGGGACGGGCTGAGATACGGCAACAGGGTCGGGGAGCACACGCTGGGCACCGTCCACACCCATTCCATCAACTACAAGGTGGACCTGGATGTGGGAGGTAGGTCTGGGTCTCATTTTCCTTCACGTGTCATTATATTGATAAACCACGGAGGTGTGCGGAGGGATTGGGCTCCTAGCTGCCCTCAGAACCCTGCTTTTTGCTCTCCTCCTTCCCTGTCGAGTTGCTCCTCTCCTCAGGAGACAGTCTGCTGAAGGCCTAGGGGTTGTTCAGGAGCTCCCTGCTCCGCGCAGGGAAAGCCGGAGAGGAGCAGCCGCAAAACCCCCGCGTTTCCGTGAGGCGCCCGCGGCACCGCGCGTTGGCAGCAGCGCGGCCCTGGCTGCGGCACGGAGCCCCTCCTGCCCGGCGCTCCCGCCCGGGGACTCCCGACCGCGGGAAGCCATCATAATTATATTAAACTTATTAAATTAAATTTATTTATGTTAAATTTATACACATTAATCAGGCTGAGAAGGGATCTGATTAACGTGTATAAGTTCACGAAGGGGGAATGGAGGGAGGAAGGGGCCAAGCTCTTCTCAGTGGTGCCCAGTGACAGGACAAGGGCAATGGGTATAAGTGGAACCACAGGCAGCTCCATCTCCGTGTGAGGAGGAACTTCTTCACTGTGAGGGTGCAGAGCCCTGGCACAGGCTGCCCAGGGGAGGCTCCTGCTCTGGAGGTCTCAAACCCACCTGGATGCCGCCCTGTGCTCTGGGTGTCCCTGCGGGAGCAGGGGGCTGGACTGGATGATCCCTAGAGATCCCTTCCAGCCTTGAATGTTCTGTGAAGCCGCTTCCCACCTCTCAGCCGCGCTCCTGCTGCTCCGTCGTGGAAACGCTGGTAACTTGGATCCTGCGCCTGGCACCGCCGAGCGGCTCCGGCAGCCAGTGACTCTCCTCTCCCGCTCCGTGGTCGCCTGGCCTGGAGCTGCTGCTGGAGCTGAGGAGCAGCTCTCGGCTGCCCCATCTGCTGGCCTGACTGCGGGCCGGCCCCGCGCGAGGCCTTGGCGCCGCTGCCGGGGAAAGCTGAGGTTTTGCTCCCTGTCCGAAGGCTGCGCTGGCAACTGCGGTGCGGGAAGCTGCTAGGGCCGTGGGGAGGCCTGGGGTATCAGAGTTAGGTGCCTGTTACTGAAACCTGCTTGTGTAAAGGGTGGAAGAAAATACCTCTGCACGGGACCAAAGAGGTCTCTGGTGGGCAGGGAGCAGCAGCCCGGGGAGAAACGGCCGTTCAGCACTGCAAGCTGCCGCTGGAGTTGTCCTACACGGGCTAAGCTGCAGGTAGCTCCAGCGCAAGCTTTGGGGCTGGCTGCGCTCTGTGCTCGGAAGCTGCTGTGGGACCTGCAGGTATTTCCCGGGTGGCAGTGCCAATGCCAACACAGCTGAACGCCCATGCTGCCCGCCGCAGGGGTGCCCAGGGCGCTGCTGCCTGCAGCTCCTCTCGTTTCCCACGAGTGCAAAGCGCCCGGCCCTTGGTCTCCACCCAGACCGGGGCCTGCGGGGGCTCTGCCGTAGCCCTGGCCGCTGCGTCGCGCGGAGCCCGGCCCTGCGGGGCTGCACTGCAGGGCAGTCCTGCCCCACGGCCGGGGCTGCAGGAGGGCACGCGGCCGCAGCCCCGGTGCCCAGGACGGAGCTCCCGCTGCCCCGGCTGCCCGCAGCGCCCGGGGCAGGGCGGCCGCGTGGCTCGCGCACGCGGCAGCGCCGAGCCCTTCCCCGCGAGGCCCCGTTTGCAGCCGTCTCGGCTCTCATCCAAGGATGGTGTCAGCTCGGGCGCGTTGGGGTTAGGGCCGAATGGGGCCGGTGCTGCCCGGTGTCGCCCCTGCTCTCCCTCCTGCACCCCTGGCGCGCAGCGTCGTGCCCGCCCTGCTGCCTGCGGCTCGCCGAGCGCCGCCCGCTCCCCCGGGTGCTGCGGGTGCAGGAGGGCAGAGCTGCCGGGCTGGCTCCTGCGCGAGGTGGGACCGCGGCTCTCGTGCAAGAAGCCAAGGCCCCTTGGGCAGATCTGGCTCTTCCCAGATCCCAGATTCCCCCCAGGAACCTGCGGAGCGGGTTGAGCATCGACTCCGCTGTTGGCTGCCATGGCGTGTCTGCGCGGGGAAGGAAACAGGCTGGACGGGCTGGGACGTGGGAAGCGAGTCGCTTGGGAGCTCCAGGCTTCGTCTGGATCTTGTCTTTGTCTCCTTAACCTTTTTGAGCCTCCAAAGCTCGCTGTTTGTTAGCCCTTCCACAGGTTTTTCTTTCCAGATGGGGAGTAGGACACAGAGCTCACTTCCCGGGGCTGGAAATACTGCTGTGATGGAGGGATAGCGGGGGTGGTAGCGGTGGGGTTCTGCTTCGTCTGTCCTATGCTCTCACCCCTGGAGCCAGGAAGGGCCGCAGCATCCTGGGCTGGATACAGCCAGCACCGTGGTGTGGCCATCCGTCCCCTTCTACGGATGGACACGAGCTGGTGGTTCCTTCGTTGTCCATCCTCTGTGTGCAGCCCAAAACAGCCTGTGAGGTCGCTGGCAGCAGCAGCACTTCTGCTCTCCCTCTTCTTCCCCCTGCACAAGCCCTGCGCCCAGCAAGTCCTCTCCCAGCTCCCGTGGTCTGGGCACCTCCTAGACTTTAGAGAAACCGGGATTTTTCTCTCTTCACCCTCCTTAGCCTCTCGAATAGCCAGAGTCCTGAGCACCAAACAACCATCCAAACTGAGGGGAGAGCGGCGGGTCTTGTCTATCTGGACTTCAGCAAGGCTTTTGACACCGGCCCTCACAACGTCCTCCTGGGCAAGCTCTGGAGATGTGGGATAGATGAGTGGATGGTGAGGTGGATTGAGAACCGGCTGCATGGCAGAGCTTAGAGGGCGGAGATCGGTGGTGCTGAGTCCAGTTGGAGGCCAATAGTTAGCGGTGTCCCCTGGGGGTCAGTCCTTGGTCCCCTCCTGTTCAATTTATCCATCAATGACCTGGATGAAGGGCTGGAGTGCTCCTTCAACAAGGCTGCTGATGATACCAAACTGGGAGGAGGAGCTGATAGCCCTGAGGGCTGTGCTGCCATCCAGAGGGACCTGGACAGGCTGGACGACTGGGCGGTGAGAAACCTCATGAAGTTCAACAAGGGCAAGTGCAGGGTCCTGCACCTGGAATAACCCCGGACACCAGGACAGGCTGGGGACTGACCTTCTGGAGAGTAGCTCTGCAGAAAGGGACCTCGGCGTCATGATGGATGACAAGATGACCATGAAGGAGCAGTGCCCTGGTGGCCAAGAAGGCCAACGGGATCCTGGGGTACATTAAGAAGAGTGTCTCCAGGAGGTCGAGAGAGGTGATCGTCCCCCTCTACACAGCCCTGGGGAGGCCACATCTGGAGACTGTGTCCAGTTCTGGGCTGCCCAGGACAAGAGGGATGTGGAGCTGCTGGAGAGAGTCCAGCGCAGGGCTACGAGGATGATCAGGGGCCTGGAACATCTGCCCTGTGAGCAAAGGCTGAGAGAGCTGGGCCTGTTCAGCCTGGAGAAGAGGAGGCTGAGGGGGGACCTGAGCAGTGTCTATAGATACCTCAAGGGAGGCAGTGAGGAGGAGGGGGCCACTCTTTGCAGTGGTGGCCACTGAGAACTAGAGGCAACAGCCACAAGCTGAGGCACCAAAAGCTCCATAGGAGCTTAAGGAAACATTTAAATAACAGTGAAGGTGCCAGAGCCCTGGCACAGGCTGCCCAGAGAGGCTGTGGAGTCTCCTCTGGAGATCTCCCAGACCTGCTGGGATGCAGCCTGTGCTCCGTGCTCTGGGTGCCCTGCATGTGCAGGGGGTTGGGCTAGATGACCTCTAGAGGTCCCTTCCAGCCTTAAGGATTCTATGAAGCCAATCCAGCTGCTTAGCTGCGGCGATTACCATTTCCAGCTCACGTCCCTGTTTCTTCTCCCGGCTTTTCGCCGCTGTCCCAGGCAATCCTGGCTGGCGGGTGGGCGGCCCGGCCGGCCGTGCTGCTCCTGGAGCTGCAGGCAGAGCAGGGGCGTCCCGGGCGGCTGCGCCCACGGGCGCCTCGCGGGACGCGGAGCCTCCTTCCCTCGCGGCAGCCTCCGCCGGGGCTTCTTGGATCCGGCACTCGCCTCCGTGTCCCGCGTCTCTGCCCCGGACCTGCTCTGCCTCCTGCTGAGAACGCTTCTGCCACGTGCCCTTGTGATGTATTGAAATATTTCCCAATCCTGCTGTTGGCAAACACACATTTAAAGAGTGTTCTATGCGGTTTGGGGATGTTTCCAAGTACTTGGATCGGGACAGCGGATTGCAACACTGGGACGATATGGAAAAGGCAAGCAAAATATCTGTGTTATCAGTGAACAGGAAGCTCCGGGCTTAGGCGTTTTGCTCACGGCATGGAGGGGAAGCAAGCAGGAGCCGTGGGGATTGCTCGTGGCGATGTTTTTCTGCAGCTCTCTGGCTTCTGACCTCCCTTGGAGCCCGCTCAGGCAAGTCCTGACTCGGGACTTCAATGCTGCTCTGCGCAGCTCAAGCAAGTCCCCAGGGCCCGCTCAGCCCTCCCGGGCCGGGCAGAGGGTCAGCTCCGAAACGGCTTTTCCACAACCTAGGAAACTCGCCATGGGAGAGCACGAGGAGGGCACGAGGGCGCCAGGCACCAGCCTGGGGAGCTTGGACACCCCCCTGCTGCTCCCAAGGCGCTGCCTACCACCCAGGCCCAACTTATCCCGGGCTTTTAGCCCCTTGCGCCTCTCCCGTCAGTCTGAGCCTCTGGCTGAGGAGCCTGGTTTGTGGAAAGACCTGCAGAGAGCCGCTCAAGTTGTGCCATGTGCAAACGTGCCTGGTGCGCACTCCCCACAGCGCGCCCTGGCCCGCCTGCCCGCGGGCACCGCGGCCGTCGCTGGGTTCCAGCTGCTCGGGTCCATTAGGCTGCGCTTAGGCGAGGAAGCCAATTTGTTCTGCGCCGGGATGGGGCTTGCGGCTTTGGATCCTCGCAAAGGACGAGAGGCCGCGTGGGTGGTGACGTGTGGCCCGGCGTGGAGGTGCCCGGCGCACGTGAACCAGGGCTGCAGAGCAGCGCCCGCTCTCGCGTGCAGAGAGCGGCTCCCAGCCCGGGCAGCGGAGCCTGGGGAGGACGAGCCCCGGCTGTGGCCGCCCCTGCGAGGCGGCACTCGGGGCGAAAGCTCCTCGATGTCTTTTGCTTTTGCTTTGTAGGGGTCAAAAACACCCTGGTGGCCCACGACGTGGCCTTTGAGATGGCGCGGGCGCCCTGGAGCCCGGAGCAGCATGTGGAGCGGCCGCGGCTCACCAAGCAAGTCCTGGACACGGAGGACCAGGCTGCGTTCCGGCACCAGTCGAAGATGCCCAGATGCATCTACTTCGCAGCCAACGGCAAAAACAAGTGGGGCCACCAGCGTGGCTACAGGATCCAGCTCGTCAGTTTTGCAGGGGAACACATGCCTGAAACCAGCCCCATGGAGAGGGCCATCAGCTGGGCAAGGTCAGGCTGCTCTCCTGACGGTGGCCCCAGGTTCTCCAGCTTGCTTGGACCTGGCAGACGCTCCCGTGGGCTGGGGTTTCTCTATAAGAGGGGTCTTAGGATTTGCAGGTTCTCCGAGGAGCAACGTTTAGCTCTGCCCTGCTCCATGGGCTCTGTGCTCCCTGGGATCTGGCGCCCTGGCCATGCTTTTGCCATCCCTCCCTTAGAATGGGTTTCTTCTTCAGCCAGGATGGTTGCCCATGTCATGCTCTGACCTTTGGCCTCCTCGTCCCCCTTCCCATCATAAGGGTCACTTTGGTCACCACTAGACTCGTTGGGTTGCGTCCCCACCTCGTGTTGGAGCTGCCTTGCTCTTTACCGTGCTCGGAAAATGCTCCTGAGAAGCCCTCCGGGTCCAAGCACCGTCTGCCCGGGACCAGCATCTCCCCTCCCTCACCTGCAGCTGCTGCCTCAGGTCCCCTTCTCTCCTCTGGTCCTCAGGTACAAGCTGGCTGTCACCAAGCGAAAGGAAGAGGAACCCACCAGCAGCAGCATCTACAACCAGAACGACCCCTGGACGCCCACGGTCGCCTTTGCCGACTTCATCGACAACGAGACCATCGCCAACGAGGTGAGCTGGGGCTGCTCGGCCTGCGGCCCGGCCACAGACCGCGCGGGAGCCTTGGAGCGGGCAGGAGATCCGAGGAATCCCAGCACAGCCGGTCGGCTGGGAGAGCAGCAGAGCCTCGGCGATGAGCAGAGTGGGTTCAAGCATCCCCTTCTCCGTGCATCTCCCCACCGCCTTGATCGGAGCACCCAGATCCCGGGGCGGGGGATCCGTTTCCACTCATGGAGAAATGCCCTGATTCCAGCAGGTCCTTGGGGAAAGGAGGGGAATCTTTCCCAGGAAGGGGGAGCTCCGAGTGTGGGAGGGTGGGCTGGGCTGGTGCCTCGGGAGGTCCCTGCCTGTGCTTTCTATAGCGTTCCTTGGCTTATGTGCAGATTTCAGTCTCTCCAGCTGTAAACTCTGGAAACGATCAGTCCTGTAACTCTTCCCTCCCTAGGATCTGGTTGCCTGGATAACCACGGGTTTCCTTCACATCCCGCACGCCGAGGATCTTCCCAACACGGTGACGGTGGGAAACTCGGTCGGCTTTCTCCTGAGACCTTACAACTACTACGACCTGGACCCTTCCATCTACTCGCCGGACGGCGTGTTTTTCACCAGCGAGCAGGACTTCACCTCCTGCGACGTCAACTCGGTGGCCTGCCTGCCCAAGAGGGCTGCCTGCCCGCCCAACCTGCCCCCCTTCACCTACGATGGTTTCCAAAACATGAGCAGGTTTTAAGGTCGCAGGATGCTCTTAGGAGACACAGTCAAAGGTGCTGCTTGACTGTTCTGTCCCCTCTCTTTCCTTTTTGTGGTCGAGTTGTCTCAGTGGCCGGGCAGGAGGTTACTTTGCCCGTTATCGTTGCTTTTTAGTAGTGCTCTTTAGCGGGAGGCGCTGGTGCGTGGCGCGGGGGCTGCCTCCTGCACCGGGCACATTGCGGGCGCCACGCGGAGCGCGGGCGGCCGCCCTCCTCCGTGCGGACAGCAGTGCTCGCAGCGGCCGTTTTGGGCTAAGGAAATTCCAGCTGAATCCCTTGCGATCCCGAGTGTCTCATTCTTGCGCCGCGTCTGCGTTGGGGCTGCCCCCTGGCCACCGCGTTCCCTGTTTTCCCAAGGGCCGAGGGAGGCGGCGGCCGGGGTAAGCGGTGGGGCTGGGGTCATTTGCTGCGCTGGGGATGGAGGCATCGCTGCTGCTGCTGGGAGAAGGGCAGGAGCGATGGAGGCGGCGGCAGCAGCAGCAGCACGAGTTCACGTGAACGTGACCCACGGCGGGAAGTGGAGCAAAGTTGCCTTTTATGGTTTCCAGCAAATCCCAGGCCCGACACAGGACATTAATCTCTGCCTGCATCCTCCCTCTCCAGCTCCTCTGGGCTGATCCCTGCCCAAAAACGGGGAAAAAACAAACCCGGCCCCTTCTGCTGGCGGGCGGCGCGGGAGGGCCCGGCAGCTGCGGCCGCGGCAGCGCTCGGGGCCGCGGCAGACATGAACGTGAAGACCGTGCTCGTCCTCCTGGTGCTGGCCTTGGCCACTATCTTCGCCCTGGTCTGCGTGCTGCTGACCAGGGAGCGGGCGCCCGGCGCCTGCCCACAGCAGCCCCCGGAGCAGCGGGAGGAGGATGACGACGGTGCCGCGGAGCGGAGCCTGGTGTTCGCGGACCTGAGCGCGGAGGAGCTGGCGCAGGTGGTGCGGTACCTGCGGGCAGAGCTGGGGGTGCCGCTGGTGGAGGCGTCGCGCGCGCTGCCCTCCGACAACTGCATCTGCTGGGTGGAGGTGCAGCCGCCCGGCAAGGCGGAGGCGCTGCGCTTCCTGGACGGCGCCGGGGCCCGGCCCGCGCGCGAGGCGCTGGCCGTGCTGCACCTGGGCGCCCAGGCGGAGCCCAACGTCACCGAGTACGTGGTGGGGCCGCTGCCGGCGCCCACCTACCACCGGGACGTCACGGTGCGCAAGTACGGCGCCGGGCTGCCCTACCACCGCCGCACGGTCACGGCGCGCGAGTACGCAGACATCGAGGAGCTGCTGCGGCGCGAGCTGCGCCGGGCGCCGCGCTTCCTGCGCGCCTGCTGCCGCTCGGACGGCAGCGACCTGGCGGCGCTGACCACGGCGCCGCGCGGCGCCCGCTCCGGCGACCGCGCCACCTGGTTCGTTTTGTTCCACGCCGTGCCCGGCACCGGCTTCTTCCTCTCGCCCGTGGGGCTGGAGGTGCTCGTGGACCACAGCGCCCTCGACGTGTCCCGCTGGCGCCCGCTCAGCTTCTTCTACAACGGCCGCCACTTCCCCAGCGCGGAGCTGCTCGAGGCCGAGTTCCTCTCCGGCAACGTGTCCGTGGTGTCCGTGGAGAAGCCGGCGGCGCCGGGGCCAGGCTCGCTGCAGCCGCGGCGCCTGCCGGACCGCCCGCCGCCCATGCCCGTGGAGCTGCGCGGGCCCCGCTACCGCCTGCACGGCGACTGCGTCTTCTTCCAGGGCTGGAGCTTCTGCTTCGGCATGAGCCCCAGCTCGGGGCCGCGGCTCTCCGACGTGCGCTTCCGCCGCGAGCGGCTGCTCTACGAGCTGAGCCTGCAGGAGGCCCTGGCGCTCTACGGCGCCAACTGCCCCGGCGCCATGTCCACACGCTACCTGGACGCCAGCTTCGGCATTGGCCGCTCCTCCTACGAGCTGGTGCGCGGCGTCGACTGCCCCTACCTGGCCACCTACGTGGACCGGCACTACGTGAGCGAGGCGGGGGCGCCCGCCGCCCGCCGCGCCTCCCTCTGCCTCTTCGAGCACGACGAGGCGCTGCCGCTGCGGCGCCACTTCTCCGACGCCCACTCGGCCTACTACGGCGGGCTGCGGCGCAGCGCGCTCGTGCTGCGCGCCGTCTCCACGCTCATCAACTACGACTACGTGTGGGACTTCCTCTTCCACGCGAGCGGCGCGCTGGAGGTGCGGGTGCACGCCACGGGCTACATCAGCTCCTGCTTCCTGCACGGCCGCGCCACCGACTACGGCAACCGCGTGGGCGAGCACACGCTGGGCACCATGCACCTGCACCACATGCACTACAAGGTGGACCTGGACGTCGCCGGTAGGTGCCCGCGCGGGCGGCGCGGCGCGCGGGAGCTCGGCCCGTGCCAGCGGCTCCCGCGGTGCTCCGCAGGGCGGCCCAACTGGCTGGAGACACAGGACATGGAGTACGAGGCGGTGCAGGCGCCCTGGCCCGGGGGGCCGCTGCTGCAGCGGCCGGTGCTGCGGCGGAGGCGGCCGCAGCGCGAGGACGAGGCGGCCTTCCCGCTGGGCGCCCCGCTGCCCCGCTACGTCACCTTCGCCGGCGCCCAGCGCAACAAGTGGGGGCACCCGCGCAGCTACCGCCTGCAGCTGCGCAGCGCCCCCGCGGAGCCCCTGCCCGCCCGCAGCCCCATGGAGAGGGCCCTCAGCTGGGGCAGGTGCGCGGGGCCGCGGCGCCGTGCGGGGCCGGGGCCGGTGTGCGGGGAGGCACCCGGGCCCTCGGGCACCCGCTGGCTCTGGGTGTCGGGCAGGGCGGGCGCAGGGTGCCCCCAAGAGCAGCCCCAGGCCCCCCGTGTCTGGTGGGCGCCGCGCTGCGGGCAGCAGCCGGTGCGGGCCGGGGGGTGCCCGGCGCATCGGGCGCCCCGGGGCGCAGCGCCCGGCCCACGCGCAGCCCTGGCCCCCAGGTACCAGCTGGCCGTGACGCGGCGCAAGGAGGAAGAGCCGTCCAGCTCCAGCGTCCACAACCAGAACGACCCCTGGACGCCGAGCGTCGCCTTCGCCGACTTCATCAATAACGAGACCATCGCGGGCGAGGTGAGCAGGGCGTGGGTGCCACGGGGACGGGGACGGGGACGGGGCCAGCCCCTCACAGCCCCTCTCCCCGCCAGGACCTGGTGGCCTGGGTGACCGTGGGCTTCCTGCACGTGCCCCACGCCGAGGACGTCCCCAACACGGTCACCGTGGGCAATGGCGTCGGCTTCCTCCTGCGGCCCTACAACTACTTTGACGAGGACCCTTCCGTGGACTCGCCCGACAGCACCTACCTGCGCCCCGAGGGCACCGCGGGCGGCTGCGGCGGCCACCCCCTGGGCTGCCCCCCCGCGGCCGCCTGCGCCCCCCCGCTGCCCCCC